CAGATCCTCCACGTTTATCGACAATGCTGCCTAGATACATGAACGCTTCCACTTCTTCACCAAGTGGGATTGGGTTGATATTCTCTGGGTTGTATTTGAGGATATTGCTTTCTCCCCTGTGTATGTTGAGGCCTCTTGATGCAGAGGCTTCTGCTACACTGGTTGTCGTAAACTGCATTTGTTGGTGTGAATGGGATAGAAAAGCCAAGTCATCTGCAAAGTCCAAATCGTCTAGTTGCATCCAAGCTGTTCATTGTATTCCGTGCTTCCCCCCCCCCCAGATGCCGAGGTCTACATAATCATATCAACCACCAGAAGAAAGAGAAAGGAAGAAAGTAGGCAGCAGTGTCTGGAACCGGTCCACACTTGAAATGCATCTGTCAGCTGTCCTCCATGCACGACCTTAAACTGTAGACTGTTGTATGAATTCCGTATGATGTTGACAATCTTATTAGGTACACCATAGTGTTGAAGACGTTTCCACAAGGTTCTTCTGTCCACACTATCAAATGTTCTCTCATACTCAAGGAATAGTGACGAGTTCAATTCAACTGATTGTTCAACGATGATTCGCAGTGTCACGGTTCGGTCTGAGAACGACCGACCCTTACAGAATGCAGCCTGTTGATTTCAAAGTTGAGCGTCTACTGAATCTTTTATCTGATCCTACAACATTGTTGAAAATCTTTCCTGGTACTGACAGTAGTGTGAAACCTCTGTAGTTCTCACATTTGCTCAGACTTCCTTTCTTTGGTATCTTGATAAGGTATCCTTATTTCCAGTCTGTCGGGACTTGTTCTTCCTCCTCGATCTTCCTGAATAGAACATGGAGCATCTTTGCAGTTACTTCTATGTCTAACTTTAGTGCTTCGGCTGGTATATTGTCAGGTCCTGCTACTTCCCCACACTTGGTTTGTCTGATGACCATCCTGATTTTTCCGACCGGTGGTGGATTGAGAACTGTAGGAAGGTCTGTAGGTCCACTTGTCTTCCATAGTAGTTTCTTCTTCCTTCAGTAGACCCTGTAAGGCTTGGAACCTGTTGTTGAGATTTATCTTGAATTCGTTGAGTTCGTTGTATTGAACCTTTGTAATGCTGTTCCCCGAGTTTTCCAGTGTTTCTTTAGCCTCAGTTTCTTGTTGGCCACCACCAGGTGGTGGTCCGAATCTATGTCAGCTTTTCTCCTGATTCTCACATCCTCCATTGTCCTTCGGAATTTTTTATTGATGCAGATATGATCTATTTGACTCTGTGATGTGGTCCGATGAGATCCATGTAGCTTTGCATATACGTTTGTGTTGGAATATTGTGCCGCCTATAACCAATTTGTTGCATGCACATAGATTTGCAAATCTTCCCCCATTTTCGTTTCTCTCTCCCAGTCCATGTCGTCCCATGATATCTTCATATTCGGGGTTGTCTATCCTGACTTTGGTGTTTAGATCTCCCATCAGAATGGTGAGGTCCTTTCTTAGGCACTTCGCTATGGTTGATTGCAGTCTCTCATAGAATTGATCTTTATTGTCTTCTTTGCTATCATTGTTGGGTGCATAATATTGGATAACATTCATCGAGAAACCCTCCTCCTTTGTTTTGCATGATGCTTTTGTGATTACGGATCCATGGGATTCCCACCCAATAAGTGCATTTCATGTATCTTTGAACAGCATCAGAGCAACTCCCTGAGTGTTCATAGAATTTTTCTCTTCGTGACCGGAATACAGCAGCACGTCTGCCGTAACTAACCTTTGATGTCCAGCTTGAGTCCAAAGGGTTTCATTTATTCCGAGCACCTCCAAGCTGTATCTCCTCATTTCCGTTGCTATTTGACTGGTCTTCCCGGTCTCTCACATTGTCCGGACGTTCCATGTACATTTAAAAATTGTTGCCCTGGTTGTTAGAAGGAGCATCGGCCTCATGAGTTCCGAAGAATCTCGGCTTTCATTGAAAGACGTCATAATTCTTCCTTCAACTCCAAGGGCAGAGTTTAACTAGTTTTATTTGTTTAATCTGTTTGGCGTTTTTTAGCAAGGTTGTTTTCTTTGGGATGGTATATATATATATATATATATATATATATATATATATATATATATATATATATATATATATATATATATATATATATATATATATATATATATATATGTTAAGTTTGCTTACATTGTTCCTACTCGTTTCCTTTCTACTCTTTTGTATATTGTTTTGTACTACTTATTTACATTCAGTAAACAATTGTATTTCCAACAATTTTGCACCTATGTTGCAACGCAAGTCGTATTGTATTATTCTGAATTATTCACATATATTTATGACGTTTATTGTACTTATCATTGTATTTATCATTATAATTACTGTACCTTAATCACTGTCACGTTTATCCACAGTTTAGTGCATTTGTTTAAACGCAACAGTTTCCATATTGTTTTGCTCTTGGTTCGGGTTTCGGTTGTTCAAAAACTGCTATCAAATTTAGACACAGCTATCAGCTATACTTTGTATTATCGAAGCCTTTTATCTTTATACTTGAAGGACGCGTTTAAAAGCCACAGACACCTCACAAGTTGAGGTATGTAACTAAAATTTGTGTATTATTCAATAAAGAACCGCTATTGTAGACAAATCGTTGTTTTGGAACATCGGTTTCGCGCGTATCTCAATCAGGTCAAGTAGACGCTTCGATAGAAGTAACAATATATATATATACATATATATATATATATATATATATATATATATATATATATATGTAAACTAATAGTGTAAACTTAACTTACTTGATAATTCGAGATTAAAACCCTTATACTGGTTCCAATTTTCTAAAAATTGTCTATTTGGTTCAGATATCGCCTTATTATCTAGAATTTCTATACGAAAACAATAAGAAATTAGGGAACAAAACATGATTTTGTTTGAGTACAATAACCAAAGAAAAACGCATCCAAGTTATATTTCTTACATAATATCGTAAATTTATTTATGTTAAAGCCCGTAACAGGGGATTGGTGGTATATGTCGCCTTTTCCCTATCTAACCTTATATATCCTCTTACTTATTTTAATGACTCTGGTTTTTGTTACTCTGTTATTAATAGGTGGGAAAGCTTAAACGGACCAACTTACGTGAAGTTCCTTTTGTCCTATCTCTATTAAACAAAAGGAATTCTCAAACATACATCTACGAACGAGACAGTCCAAATATATCGACAAATGGATCTAGTTTTACTTTAACAAATTATAAACATCGGTTTTAGCTATTGATGAAATCGTAGGACATTAATTTGGATTCATATGCAAACGCAAATAATGACTCCTAGGTTTGCAGGTATGTGACGTGAACAGAGAATCAAGAAGCTATGACAAACTACGGAAGTTATTCTTGGGGACGTTATTTCATTTAATCCAAAGCTCGTAAAACACTAACATTTATTTTTGTTACTAGTATGATTCTACAGATCACAAGCTTTCATTTGATTTATGACTCATTGTCATAACCCTTCTTGTTCCAAAGCCATTGCAATTTAAACGTGACCTTTGGTACTATATATTTTTCTGTGACCATAAATATTGATTAACGCTTGATTAAATGGAGTTAGCTTGCACGCCTTCTCCCCCGCGCGTCATTTCGCTTCGCTCTTTTCTATTCGCTTCGTTCCTCTGAATGTCTGTCCAGATCAATGAGTGTACAAAATATATGTATTAGAAATCCATTCTCATATTTGACTCATTTAATTCCATTAAACACTGATGCAGTTTAAGTCATGATATGTATATTTCAATAACAATCAATCATATGATCTAATCGGAGTCAGATCTTGAGCCACTAATACTACTAAGGTAAGACCCGATCATCTTAATGAGAAACCTAACAGCTGAGACAGGGATAGACAACAAAAGACATGGACGTATCATGGAGCGACATAATTGGATAAGGAAAAAAGAATAGTGAGAGACTAGTAGATCTATGCGCTTTCAACATGTTCATAGATTTCATCATTTTCCCCACAAATCCATGCGCAGAGCTACATGGGATTCAGTCACAACGTAGAACTTGTACGTACGTACATCGGTTAGTTCTCACATCCCATCAACACATAGAGATGAATTTTTCAGGCCAAATCCCATAAAAGTAGAGGTAGTAACAGTATCAGTAGTAATAGGAAAGATCAGGCACCCAAGATACAACTGAAGAAAAAATACAAATTATTGAGATAAACACCATATCCCGAAAATGCTTGCACTATAGCTAGAGGTGGTAGGAAGATTACATTTTGTCAGCGTCCTCGCTGGACAGAACTGTATCATCTGAGTATTCCAAGTCTAAGAGTGAGTCTCCTGAAAAGTCGGATGATTAAAGTGTTAACTCAAAAATATGTCTATGGCAAAGTTAAATAAGAATGGGGAAAGCGGATAACTTCGATTAACGCCACGTGGAGTAACCGATTTCGATGGGTTTGTCATAAGCTCTGACCAAGGGTGTTCGGGTAGGGAGCCCGTACCGAGTCGAACGTTGCCTTAAGGTCAAGAAATACAACTATAGTCGGACGTCTGAAAGTATTTCCGTGTCCCAGAATCTGCTGAAGGGTGAATATTTGGTCCACACGTTCACGTCCAGGTCTTAAACAAGCCTGGTTTTCTCGGGTTCACCCTTCACGAGCTCTAGTAAGATGTCAAAGTATTATTGAGGCCAATAGTTCAGACACTCTCTTATAGACTGGGATGATCAGAGATCGAGACCAGTCAGACGGGACTACATCCAGTTCCCAGATTTTAGCTAAGATCTCGGTTAATCTAACTGCTGAAACTGGATCACTATCCTTAAGATTCTCATGGGGTTAATCCATCAGGCTCTGCTGCTTTCCCTCGCTTTAGATTGCTTATAGCCTCTTAAAGCTGACTAAGAGGTGGAGGACTTACATCAGTTCGCCATTCAGGTTGATTGAAGATATTGGGTTCTGCTATTAAATTTAACGCGACACCTACCCCAAAGAGGCCCCGGAAAGTAGCAGTGGAGACTTCGGATACTCGAAGTGTAAGTAGTACCAGTTCTTTATATTGGCAAGGTGAGATTATATGAATGAGAGTACTTGGATATTGTTTGCGCGTTTCGAAGACGCAGCACACATCGATGGAGCGAGATTCTAGAGTCCTAGCTAAAGAAACCCGTGTCCCTACTTGACACAAGGTTCGAACATTAAAAGCTACAATGTGTAGTTTAGGGTGTGAATTCAGGAGACCGGGAATAACATTTCGTGGACTCAAGTCATTAGCATTGGCGGCGTGCGTTGATAAAGATAGATGAAAAGAGTTAGTCGTGAGGTGGAGGAATTTTTATGAGGTAGGAGGGGAATTCGATCGTCAACAAGATGACCTCGTGTGCCATTGGAGGCATGAAGGCGGTTATCACTTTCCGGCTGCCTACGCCGTAGAGGGACCCGAAAAGGAGCCCGGATTAGTGGTAGTTTTAGTGACTTGGAAACGTGACCGCAGAGCCCAAGGGGCAAATGCTTGAGGCCGACCACACACAGCCTTTTTGGAAGGCTTTCGTTTGATTAGCTCCGCACTTTAAAGGGCCTTATCCTAAGAGACGGAAATCCGCGGGTTAAGATGAGGCGTGAAATTTTCAAGACCGACATTTTCGACCTTCTTCCCTCTGTTGTAAGAAGGTGACATCGCTGCAGATAGAGGTTTTCCAAGAGAACCATCTTACTGCCGTCACACTCGTTTACAGTCGACGTTACAAATTTGCCTCTGGATCTTAAGTTACTGATCTTAGTCTAACCGTTCCCCGACCAATATGCCTGGCATGGTAGGACCTAAAGGAACATGTGTTCCAGCCAAAAGAGCTCGGTTGAGTCATCACGATAGGCAAGCCGGACCACCTCATGTCAAGGTAGCAGCTTCGGTCTGGATATGGACTTCACCAGAACGTATTTAGGAAAGCCTAATAGACAAAATATGCATAAGTAAAAAATTTTTTAGAACTATCGAAGACGTAAAACCGAAGAAGGGAGCTCATGTTGCCTTAGATAACCTGAAACCTGACCACCTGGTGGTGCCCAAGCTAAAAAACATTCGACAGTAGAAGAAGCATTACAGAATTTTAATATACCCTTCTTTTCTGATGCCAACAAGTTCAGTTGGTTCAAGGTAACTGTCCTAAATATTACAATATCTACCGGAGAAAGAGGAAACAATCGGAGAGTAACTGAAAAGAACTAGAAAGGCGATAATTTTAACATGTTAGGAGGTCCTGGGCCCTAAGAAGCAATAGTACAAAGAATTAAACTCTGGGCACAGCCAAACATACAGAGACAAAAGAGCAGAAAGCCAGGACACAGGCGTAATCTACAGAAGTACACAGACGACTGAAGAGGACTAGAGCTGACAAGCGGAAATATGTAGAAAACCTGGCAACTACAGCAAGACAAGCTGCAAGAGAAGGAAATATGAAAGAACTAAATGATAATCAAAAAAGTAGCAGGGAATTATGTTAAAGACGAGAAACCAGTTACTGAGGTTAAAGAGCGTCTGAACACGTGGATAGATAGCCCTTTAGCATACCAGGAATGCTAAAACCATTGGACATTCGAGGAAGAATTATCAAGGCCTTCCGGCAAATCAGGAGTGACAAAGCAGGTGGACTAAGCAGCATACCTTCTAAACCAATGAAGTAGGATATACAGACAACTTCAAAGATATTTCATGTTCGCTTCATAACTATTGAGGAGGAAGAACAAGTACCAACAAACAGGAATACCTTAGTGAGATATCGAAGAAAGATCTTAGTGAGTGTGTCAACTACAGAAACATCACACTAATATCGGTACAGGATGAGGTTTTTAACGTTACTGAACCTAATGGAAAATTTAGTAGACGTCCAACATCGAGATCAACAAACACGCTTTCGTAAGGATTGGTCATGTGCCAACCAAACTGAGAACAATCAACTGAATATAGCTCATCACTATACGTTACCTTCCTTGATTATGAGAAATTATTCAACAGCTTGAATAGAAGCACCCTGTGAAATCTTTGATACTATAGAGTACTTGAAAAGATTCGTAGCATTAGACAGAACTCCTACGAGAGGTTGAATCACAAAATTTTTTCATATAGAACAGCTCACAAACTTTCCAAATGAGAAATGGAGTGAAATGATGCTACCCACTCCAAACTTTTCCCTTTTTCTAGCTATTTACTGGATTGTGGAGACTTTTGCAGCTCGGGAAAAGCACAGAACCAGTGGACACCTTGGACACAGCTGGATAATAGACTTTGAAGATGACTTAACACTCCTGCAGCAAACACAGGCAAAGACAGCTACTTTAGCAGTGGCTTCATTATAAATAGGTCTGAACATTCACAAGAGAAAAAGGAAAACCCTAAAGTACATATACAGCAAACACTACTTCACTTGACAGTGAAGCTCTAGAAGAAGTGGGAGATTTTATGCATTTGGGTAGCATCAGTAGTAAACAAGATGGATCTGATAAGGATGTTAAGTCACAAATTGCTAAAGCAAGGGCAGCATTCATGAAGTCGAAGAATATTTGAAACTCAATACTGTGATCCACGTCGAAAAGCAGAATTTTCAACGCTAACGTTAAAATAATTCAACTGTACGGAGCTGAAACTTAAAGAACTACCATCATCATTATCACAAAGGTATAAGCATTCATAAACAACTGCCCAAACAAGATACTCCAAGTCCATTGGCCGGTAACCATCAGCAGTAACCGACTGTGGCAGCGATCCAACCAGCTGGCAGATAAGGAGAATTTAGGAAAAGACTCTGGAGTTGGATAGAACACAATTCACGGAAACCACTCAATATCACAAAGTGAGTCCTGAATAAGCATCCTCAAGCCTGAAGGAAAAGGCAGACTAAAGAACATATGGCACTGGGACTTTGACGCATACAACAAGACTATCGATGACACTTGGCAACAACTGTAAGGAAGAGTCCAGGATAGAGTTAATGATCACTACCCAGCAGGCTATACCTGAGGAGGGGTAGTAAAGATTAAGTAAGATTATGTAAGCCATTGAATGATGCTTCTATTTCACAAAAACCAACTTTAAATTCAGCTGAAATTTGCATAGCACAAATATCAAACTAAACGCGTTAATGTGATTGAAAGTAGTATCCACTGAAAACAACTTACCTAAACGTTTTGCAGTTACAATGATGATATCTCTTGCTCGAGTTGTTTTCATGACAGGATTGCCTTGTATATGGAACTCTTTAAGGTTTGACCATTTATTCAGTGATGCAGATAGATCATGGATAGATCGTATGGAATTATTCGATACATTCAAAGAGATTAAGGCATGAAGATTACTTAAATCTTGTAGGGTGTCCAGTTTGTTACCTGACACATCCAAGCATATAAGACTATTCTATTAAGTTGGGATATTTTTACACGGAAATATTTACACGATAAGAGATTAGAGGGAAGGTAGAAAATCAAAATTAAAAACAGATTATTCAGCTGGGATCGTCTCAAAATTAAACAACGGTTATCTAACCAAGGAATTTTAACCGCTTAAAATACAAACCTTACTAGGGAACTTGATGAAGAATGAAAAAACATGTTTTGTCTTTTCTTCGAAATCTATAGTGAGACTGAGTCACAACAATCCAGATACACTTACACTTTACAAGCTTGAGAATTATGAGCAAATTATCTACAACCATATTCCTAATCTCTTTATCTTTCCTATTCACTCTGATATCTTTGGTGGATTTGGTCTTCTGTAGTGTTCAGGTATCTGGAAAATCAAATAAGTTGATTGTTGTCTGTGACTTCTAATAATTTTATGGTTCTCCTAAAAACCAAATTTTACCATGAAACTTGAAACAACAGAGGATAGTCAGCTGTGGTACTCGTTTGCATTCCATTGTTTGAAGAAGTTAAAGTAAAATAAACCTATGAGGTCTAATAACAACCTCTAAAATCACAAATATATTTTGAGGGACAGATCTCTTTTTTGTTAAGGTTAATAAGGTATTATATAAAGGGGGTCGAAAAGTCTTTAAAAAAATATTTAAATGAATCTTCCTGACAAAATAGACCATATTTTTTCTTCTTGCTGTTAATATTAAATGCTGCTGTTAAGATTATCAGTCAGACAATTAACTCCTCGGATTAACGAACAGATATGACATTATATCTAAAGCAATTTGTTGAATGGTTATAACAAACAAAGCAATAATAACAAGAGCATTACAGCTACAGAATTCAGACTACGATCATCAAAGACTAGACTTTCGCCTGGATTCAAATTTTGGTTGTCAATGCGTAATTCTTGCAGTCTGATTAATCCTTCCAAGCCTTCAATTATACTGATACAATTTCGGCTGAGGAAACTATTTATGAAAAAAGAATGAAAATATTTTTCAACTTACAGTTTTTCTAACTTCTCTAATGAGTTCAAGTTTTCTATACGACTTATGCGATTATTTTGAAGATATAAATGTGTCAAGTGGGATAATTTTAAGTGTTTTGGTATATATTTCAACTTATTGTCATATAGGTAGAGAACAGTTAGGCACTGACAAAGAGCGATTTCATGACCCTGGATGCGAAAGAAAGCGAGAAGACAAGTAATGAGGAAAATAACTAGGAGTAGAAATTAAAAGCAATATAGTACATATAAAATATCATGATAATATTTCAGAGAATCTTACCAGTTCATCTAGATTTTTACCATTTAGGTATAAATGTGTAATTTGTTCTAAGCACTTTTCAGATGTCTCATAGACTTTACGTCTCTTCAACGCTGAAGTACTTTTACACAATAATGCTATACTTGACTTCACCATACAGTTATTTGTTATTATTGCTAAAAATTGTTCATTTCATGCAGTGATTCTAAAATGAAATAAATAAACAGAATGATTATGGTACTATAAGCCTTATTGAGAAGAAATAGTGAACTGATTTTCCCTTTGCACTTGGTATCAACTGAAGTAGACTGTTTTTTATATGTGAAAAGACGCAGCTCTTGTATTAATCCTTCAAAAATCTGAAAGAACAAACCGTTGATCATCATTATTAACAGTAACTGAAGGAAGAGTTGGAAATGAATCCTCATAATAATGACAGGTTATACAAACATTTCCAATGAGCTTTAGTTGAAAGTTATAAATTTGTCAAAAAGTATAGAGCTTCATTACAACAGAAACGTGACAAACGTATATTACAAAGGTAGAGAGCCACAGAATAATACTGCACTTCAAGTTGTTGAACTTGCCAGGAGCGAAGAAAGATTAAGTTACTAAGTGCATAAGTAAACGTGATTTCTAGGACGAGTCTGACGTAATAGTACGTAGAGTCAAGTGAACAGAACAACCCATAGTACATGGCTATACTGATAAGCATATATTTCATAATTCTGGTACTTAACTGTAGAATCCATCCTAGCATATTGTCCTGTTTGGAACAAGGAGTGCCTGCATAAATTCCATATAAAGTGCGATCTGATGTATTCGGGGTAAAATATCCTAAATATATCCTCATTCGAGTTCCAACAAGTCTTACAAAAAGCCCATATACCCAATCAACAAATGAAGGGTAAATAAAGAGGAAAAAAGGAACGAAAGCGTAAATAAAGGGGAAATGTCGCTTTTTCGCCTTTACGTCGGTTATTAAGGGGAAATGTCGCTTTTTCGCCTTTACGGCGTGTATTTAGGGGATATTTTAGACAAAAATACGTTACGTACTGTTGTTGAATATGCCGTCTCCAGTTTTTATGTTTTCATAAACGTCCACAAAATAACTAACAGATTATTAAAGAAACATCACAATTGTCATATAAACAATTAACAAAATACGAACGCAGTGATTAGGCTGACACTCATATTCACTGACTTAAATTTTTGTTTAGCTAAATTGTTCGGACATGCTTGGTATGCCAAACAAATAACTAACGTGATGCAAGTGAGTGTCGTGCTCTCATATATGAGCGGGTTTTATAAGACCCGGAAGCTTTCGGTATCTGTTGCTTTTCAGTTAACGTTAACTGAAAAGCCCGAGCAGTACTGCCCGAGCTCCCAATTTTGAATAAAATTTTACCTATTTTGGGAAAATTCTGGGGGAAAACCCCAACGTTTGGGGAAATTTTAGGGAAATTGCACAAAACCCCTAAATTTCCCCAAACCCCAAGCTCCCAATTTTGGGGAAATTTTGGGGAACGTCTCCAAGGTCAGAGGAAATTTTGGGGTTTTTGTGCCATTTCCCCAGAATTTCCCCAAAATTGGGAGCTCGGGATGTTGGGGTTTTTCCCCAAAGTTGGGAGCTCGGGTGTGGTTTACATACAAACATACTTCTTGAAAACATATTTATAGAATGATCCACAGATATCTATAGATCTTATATAAGTTTTAAATGAGTCATACCTCAATTAAAACTAGCGGGTGAAGGTGTGTCATATTCCCGCCATCCACCTTAGCAACCAATCAGGCCTGTGTATTTATGGCGTGATGTGCATATTTCTAGCATTATTATAAGCTAGTATGAATAGTGAGTTTCGCTTCGCTTGGTTTACAGTTTTTCAGAGCTTCCATTACTTATAACGATTTGGTATTCCTTCTTCTTACTATATTTGTATTGTTTATGATAGTTCAGTGAACAGGATTAAGTTCTTCATAGTTTTCAACCGTGAAGGAATGTGGTGAGTTGATAATATTGTATGTTTTCATGTTACGAATACCGAACAGTAAATCTATTGTATCGAAAGTTGATTTTTAATAATTTCATGCTAGTGTTGTGATCGTTGCCGTTTCCAGCACTAAATTGAGCCGCTGCAGACTGGGAGGTCTTTTCGTTTACCTAACAATGTTGTCAACAAGCCTCTTAATAAATATCATTTGGTGGACTAGTATGCCGTGAAGGCTATGTGAATTATACCATTGAGATTTTGGATTTTTTTCATTTGAGTAATAGAGGTGTTATTCAGACTACTGAAAAAAAATTTGCTCTATTTTCAGAAATTTCCTTTTTGCTCTAGTGGGATCAGGCGCTTCCTGTCGTATTATAGCATTTCTAGTTTAAGGGGATGTCTAGACTGCCTCAAACGTTATGGTTAAGTAGGCTGAGCAGTCGATCATCAAACAGAAATAAGTTATATTGACCTGTAATCGCTCAAACTCGTGAGAATTTGTAGTGAGCAGCACAGCGTTAATAGCTGCACAACCTGTTATTTTCCATCAGTTACAATAGAATTTTATGGCTACCTGGAAAATTAAAAATTATCTAACAATGGTCATTTGTGTTCTGATTCAGGCTACTGAATAATTTAAACACCTTTAAAGATGACCAAATATGTTGTGAATAAGGGTGATTTCAGTTGAACTGTTACCAGGACTGTCAGCTTATATTCATGTTTCCTAGGTTTGTGTTTGATTTAATAAAGTTTTCTCAAACTGCATATATAAGAATACGGTTTCAGGACACCAAACTCAGACCTGTGACCAGTGGTAATGGAATTAAAATGTGATATAATAAATAATTTCCCCACCTACCACTGATTTCTACTCTGGATTCGCTGAGTATGACTACTTGAGATTGTATTGGACATGGTATTATCTGAACTATATCTGGTTTTCTATTCTGGGCCGTGAACCCTTGTTCCGATATAATGCATAGTCTTATCATATTAATGTATTGTCCTAATATACGTGAGAGTGATATAAAATGTTTTAAAACAATCCCTTATATCAGTCTGTTAACCAGTTAATCAACTGCTACTACTCTTCCCTTGGATGTACTCAAAATGAAGCTTGGTAAACTGAGAAATATTGTTCGGAAATGATAATATCAATTTCCAATGAATCAGAAAAGTGCTATTATCCAATTGATTGGACTTATTCATTTTCGTAGATACATAGTAGAAAATGCATTAGAATGCATAACAATAAACCTGGCTTGTAGTATGTACACGGGTCGAAATTCAGCACCGCAAATGGAAATCAACCGATTTTTATTAATGAACGATGATTTTGGTTTGACTTACTGATGTGTCGGGGGAATGTGGGATGTATTATTGTCTTACAATAGAGCACAATGAATAGAAAATAGAAACTCGAAGTAGGTATTTTCTATTGACAGGAGTTAGTTGCCAGAAATCTCTGAGCAGTGGGGTACCTGAAACAGTAGTGTGTTCGGAGCACGCCGATATTTCGTGCTGGTAGGTAACCCTTGTTCTGTTGATAGAAGGAGCCAGACTAGTAGTCAATAGGTCTTTGTTTAGATCGTGGGACAGCACACAGTGAAGCGCGAGGTCGCTTTTCAACGTCCAATATCGGATAATAGGAAATATAATCCCTATACAAAATAATGAAGTGATTGAATAATTTGGCTTTAATGTTCTGACATTTAAATAGATGTCTTTTTGTCAACTCTTAGCCAATCAACCTAAGTTATCTCATTAGTTCCTCCTAGAATCGACTTCTATAGAAATGTCGGTTCGATGAACCTTTTGTTAACAATAAAACATTATAAATGTGTGAACCTGATGGAAGTTGGATTCATCACCAAACTTGCCCAAATATGTGACATTTAGTCTGTGATGATCGCCTCTTATAATCGGGTTTGCAACTGTGGGTATATAAAGTACTCGGTGTTCCAAAAAATTAGAACATATGGTTGAGGAGAAAAATTACTAAGAATAGGACAACTAAATAGGCTTCTTAGGGTTGACGACATAACTGAAGACTTACAGATTAACCATTTGATAGACTTCATGTAGGTATGCATGTTATAGTGGGGCAATATTTCCTAACCTCATCTAGAAAACGGGCTGGTTTGTACTTTGCAAGTGTGCAAGTTCTATTGGTCATGGGTATGGTTAAAAATTAATCAATGTAAGGGAATACTTCAGTCACCCCCGTTATTTGTCGGTGTGGTTGACTGGTAAATTGCGCGCTCTAGCACTCGTAGGGACGATGATTCGAGTGCGTGCTCAGACAGAGTTATTGTTCACGCAACATTAGTTCATACGATTTTCGCTGACTATAAGGTACTCAGATACGAGGAACAATAAATTTAAAATAATGCGTTGGTACGTCAGAATCCTAAAAATCTGCACTTCGACGCATGGTCTTAGTTGGTGGTCAGCCATCTAAATTATGAAAAGCACAAGTGTTTTCTGCTCATTCTAATAATAACCAAATAGAAAAGTCACATGTGTGGTAGGTCTTGATTATATGGCGACAAGAACAAAAACATATATGAATCACAAAATCCTCATGGCTGAACACGCGACAACTGGAGAAGTACATATTCAACGTTTAACGCAGAGAAAAACCCAACAATGGCGAAGGCGGAAAATGAATTGAATTAATTCGAACTCATTGAATAGAATGACTCAGCGTTACAGGTGTGGTCCCTGTTGAATGTTATCTTATGTCTTTCAATCAGATTAAACATATTGTTCTATCTCTAGCCTAAGTGTGTTTTTCACAATATATTGTTGATGCAATGCGATGAGTGAATGTAGATAATAATATGACTTGCACGTAAGATCTTATAGACTAGGCAGTTGCTTCATGACAAATCTGAAAATATAGGATTGCTTCTATTATCAGAGCTGTATGAATAACGATTTTGACCATAGATCTGTAGTGGCATTGGACCCTACCACGAGACAAAATGGAAAATAGACATTCAACATTTAACGCGGAGAAATACAGAAGAATGGAGAAAGCGGGGAGAATGAATGAAATTAATTCGAGTTAATCTGATGGTATGGCTCGACCATGCAAGCGTGGTCCCTCCTGAATTTTACCTTATATCTTTTATTCATATTGAATATATATTGTCCTATCTCTAGCCTAAGATTGTTCTCCATCATGTACTGGTAATTGTTACGATGCAGTGAGTTGGTGTAGGTGATGATGTGATTTCCACGTAAGATCTTATAGATTAGGCAGTTACATCATAACAAATTTACAATTTTAGGATTAGGTCTATTATTAGAGAAGTGCTAATGTCATAGTAGACCTTAATTCCACAGATCTACAACTTAAAATACTTAATATGTTGAATGCCAATATCGGATTACTTCTTATTCTGTTATAGCCCAACGAGAATAATCAAAAATTTTACTGTCTGTTTTCGTAAGGCTTATCCTTCAGCCCTGTCACCTACTAGTTACCCGTCCCTAATTAATCTAACAGAATTGTGTCACTTTTGAAGAGAGAGGACACGACACCATTGCGGATTTGTGGGTAGCACAGTGTATACGTTATAGAAAGAGAGTAAGGAACAATTCTAGGATGATTGCGCCGAGTTGTCGAAGGCTTTGCAAAGTTAAGGAACACTTCATGAACCGATATCATTTGTTCCCAACAGGTCGTTCAATTGTTCCGTGTCGGGAGCAAATTGAGCGCACAGAATCTGTCTCAATTAAATGCGTGCTAAGCTTCGCCGAAAAGTTGTCTGTGTTCCTTTATCCATTCATTGACAGTCCTTCCATAAACTTTGAAAATAGTGGTTGTATTGCGACCATATCCCGAAAATGCTTGCTATTTGACTGGTCTTCCCGGTCTCTCACATTGTCCGGACGTTCCATGTACATTTAAAAATTGTTGCCCTGGTTGTTAGAAGGAGCATCGGCCTCGTGAGTTCCGAAGAATCTCGGCTTTCATTGAAAGACGTCATAATTCTTCCTTCAACTCCAAGGGCAGAGTTTAACTAGTTTTATTTGTTTAATCTGTTAGGCGTTTTTTAGCAAGGTTGTTTTCTTTGGGATGGTATATATATATATATATATATATATATGATTGCAGAATAATAAATAAGAACTTTCGTCTAAATTTGAACGAATAGTTTCACAATATTTGGGCGCCGAGTTAATGTGAGACATTAAAGAGAAAAAATGTATTTGTAAAATCTCAGCGAATGAATTTTAAGTAAATATTTTTTTTTCCTTGAAAAAGCTTGGACCAGATTGCCAGGCGAAACGTTGGATTTACTTAAAATTCATTCGCTGAGATTTTACAAATACATTTTTTCTCTTTAATATATATATATATATATATATATGTAAACTAATAGTGTAAACTTAACTTACTTGATAATTCGAGATTAAAACCCTTATACTGGTTCCAATTTTCTAAAAATTGTCTATTTGGTTCAGATATCGCCTTATTATCTAGAATTTCTATACGAAAACAATAAGAAATTAGGGAACAAAACATGATTTTGTTTGAGTACAATAACCAAAGAAAAACGCATCCAAGTTATATTTCTTACATAATATCGTAAATTTATTTATGTTAAAGCCCGTAACAGGGGATTGGTGGTATATGTCGCCTTTTCCCTATCTAACCTTATATATCCTCTTACTTATTTTAATGACTCTGGTTTTTGTTACTCTGTTATTAATAGGTGGGAAAGCTTAAACGGACCAACTTACGTGAAGTTCCTTTTGTCCTATCTCTATTAAACAAAAGGAATTCTCAAACATACATCTACGAACGAGACAGTCCAAATATATCGACAAATGGATCTAGTTTTACTTTAA